CGAGGCTCTGCTCAGCACAGCAGCTCCTATCAGTCATCTCATCTGCAGGAGCAGCATGCGCACGCTTATGGTGCGTTCAAAGACGGCTCAGAAAAACACATTGCCATATGTTAATAATGGACACAAATGCTGTCAGAATGTGTCGTTCTGTTTGGGAAGCAGATGGAAACATGTAGCATGAAGCATATGTGTACACACACGATACACGTGGATTTTATTTTGAAATCAGAAGTTTCAGAAAGCCGACAGTGAGAAAGTTTCAACATAGATACAAAAAGCCTTTATATCGTTGTTCTCAGCTGTGTTTGGAGTTCGTCTTTCACAGAATTAATTATTTTTTGCTGTTATCACTGAATTTATTGCGCGATCTCCTTCCTGCCGGACCGGAGTGGAGCGGAGGCTGTATAAACTGAGACACAAACAAACACCTGCGACCTGCGCGTCACAGCGGTGCGGAGCGGAGACGCATGTAATGTAAAGTGGGGGTCAGTGAGGACATGGCTCACAAGTCAGGGTCCACATCTCCAGTGAACACTAGGTCTCCCCCATCCCTACTCTCTTGACATTTAGATATTATAAAATTTATGTATTTATTGACAATAGGGGGAGTAACCCTGAAATACCTCAGCCCACGTCTTACAGTCGTACCCAGGCAGAAATCCAGCAGAGTTAATTAAAGGAAGACTCACCTTGAAGAAAAAACCAGACAGAAGTTGCTTTCTCAGATTTTACTGCTAGATTTTATTTAAAGTATAACACGTTTGTTTACAGGATATGATTTTGCTGCAATCTAAAACAAAAGACAAAAAGAAATAGATGAAGGAGCAGTGAGTTGTCCCAAAAGTTCACATACAAAAAACAAAACAAAAAAAATACAACTAAAAAAAGTAAAACATTGTAGGGTAATTTAAATGTTTAGAATTCTGAACTAGATAATTTGTGGATATAATTAAATATATTATATTTACATATACTATATTTAAAGTATAACACGTTTGTTTACAGGATATGATTTTGCTGCAATCTAAAACAAAAGACAAAAAGAAATAGATGAAGGAGCAGTGAGTTGTC